ACAGCCAGCAACAATTACACAACAGTGAGCCCATTTTTAACAACTCCGAACAGTACAACAGTGTACAATTCAATTACATCTGGCAACAATGACAGAGAAACTGACAACAATTACAACACAACTACAACCAACATTTCTTCTACAACAGTGTATAATACAGCTGTGTCCAACAACAATTATACAACAGCGTACAATGCAACTATGTCAGACAACAATTACAACACAACTACAGCCATCAATAATTCTACAACATTGTACAATACAGATATGTCAAGCAATAATCTTACAACAGCGTACAATGCAGCTACAGTCAGAAACAATTATACAACAGTCAACAGTGCAACAACAACTGATGACAATTACACAACATACAATACAACTATAGCTGCCGACAGTTATCCAACAGTATACACTCAAACTACAACAAGCAAAAATGACACTACAGTGTATAATACAACTATAGATGGTAGCAATTACACAACAATGTACAGTGAAACCACGGCTGGTAACAGTTACATAGAAACTGGCAATATTTACAATACAACAACTGCAAACAACAATTACACAACAGTGAGCCCATTTCTAACAACTTTGAACAACACATCACTGTACAATTCATTTACTTCTGGCAATAATGACAGACAAACTAGCAACAGTTATAATACAACTACAGCCAACAATAATTCTACAGCCAGCAACATTTACGCAACAACCTACAATTCAGCTATGTCAGACAACAATTACAACACAACTACAGCCAGCAATAATTCTACAACATTGTACAATACAGCTATGTCCAGCAATAATTTTACAACAGCGTACAATGCAACTACAGTCAGAAACAATGACAGACAACCTGGCAACAGCTACAACGCAACCACAGCCAACAATAATTCTACAACAGTTCACAGTGCTACTATAGAGAGAAACAATTATACAACAGTCGATGGCACAACCACAGCTGGTAACAATTACATAATCCCACAAAATACAACTTCAGGTAGCAATAATTATACAACTACAGGTGGGCACAGTTACACAAAGGTTTACGATGCAACCACAGTGAACAACAATGACACAGTAGTTCATAATGCCACTACATCTGGGACCAATTTGAATGAAAATACAACTAACCAAAATTACACAACACTTAATTATGCAACTACACCTGGCAGTAATTCCACATTAGTGTCCACCAACTTTAGTACAGCTACAACTATCAATAGTTCCACAGCAACTACACCTGGTAATAATTATACAGCAATGTATAATGCATCCACAGCTGTCATCAATTACACAGTAGTGTATAATGCAATTACATCTGGCAACAATTTTAATGTAACTGCAACTAACAACAACTACACAATAGTTTATAATGCAACTGGATCTGGTAGTAATTACACCCTTGTGTATGCTGCAACCACAGCTGACAACAATTACACAGCAATGTACAATGTAACAACAGCTGGCACAACTTTACACAATGGTGTGGCGACAACCGGTAACACAACAGTTAGTACAACAACAATATCTCCCAACTACACAATGATAAAGAGCACAACTACAGCCTCTAACAATTACACAACACCAGTGATCATTACTCCGACTATTCTATCTCAAAATAAAACAACTGCAATTATTGGAACCACAGAGAAAAGCACAACTGCTGCAGTGTCTCACAGTACTAAACCTACTTCAGCTCCACTGAAGAACCAGACTGCAAATTTCACCACAGTGAGTTTGACTCATGTCACAACAATAAGCAAAAATGAAACCATGTCCACCACAGCTGCCAGCACCGTCCAAACAGATGACAGACCAGAGGCCGGTTTAACGACAACAACGACAACAACGACAACAATAACAGAAAATGCATCTGTTGTTATTATCTCACCCGCAACCACTGCAACTACTATAACAGGTCATGGTCCACAAGATTTAAATGGCACAACTGCTGAGGTTTCTTTGACTTATACAACACCGCTCACCAAAACTACTACAACCACCACAGTGGCTGGTATGTAGATACTGCAGTTTAACCTTTTTAAAAAGTTATTACTATCGAGTTTTAAGCTGCAGAACAAAAAAATAGATCTACTGATTTGATGATTTGCTCCTGTAGAGAACACAGGAACTTCCACAACTGATGTACAAACAACTGATGAAGCAGTCTACCTGTTGAATCAAACACAGGCTGTATCTCTGCTCAACGCCTCTCAAGTAAATGTCACTCTGCAGCTCTGTTGTGCAACTAACATTTAAATGGATAACGACTGTGTTTGTTTATTTTAATGTCTCATTTGGGAATTTTAAGGTGTCAGTGTTGGTTGAGACGCTGGAGAAGCATCTGGACAGTCCCTCTGTTTCACCATCAGTGGTAATCAAAGTTGTCAGTAACTTGATGGACAGTAACCCCGAGGCACTCTCTAAATCTGCAAACAGGTTCAACACACACGTCTGTCTTAAAACAAACAAAGAAAATAACATATGCACATGCAAATGTGATTTTTTTCCTCCTGATGTTTGTGTTGTATTTCTTGGCGACAGGCTGATTCACTTGGTGGATGATCTGGGTGTTAAACTGGCTGTCACTGGTGGCGATGGAATTCTGTCAACCAGTTCCTTAGTTGTTGCTGTGAAAACAGTGAATGGGAGCAACTTCACAACAATCCTTTTTGATGTTTTTAACACTGATCATGTCCAGGTAGTCATCTGCTCATCAAGAGACATTGGTCCTCACATGAGAGCCTTTTTTTAGATAAACATATCAATCTTAGTCTCTAAGACACGTAAGGGCTCAACCACACTTAAACCCAAACCTACCACTTAATTATTTATTTATTGCGTGTTTTCAGTTCAGTGGCCCAAAAAGGACCATGAAAAGCTCAGAGCCTGCTTTGGCGTCTGTATACTTGCCTGCCTCCCTCACATCTGGTATCAGCCCTGAAGAGCAGAAGCAGGCCAACAGCGTCCAGTTTACTTTCTATGCAAAAAATTCCTTCTTTAAGGTGCTTTCTCACTGTCATATCAGAATGTATTTATTTATTTTCTGTTTTGATTTATCTAATTGATTATGACCTATATGAAAGGGGTTAAATTTAAAGCGAATCTCATTCTCCTGTAACTGACCTCTGTATATTTCTTCATTTTTGCAGGATCCATCATTAGATAACAAAACTCTTGTCAGCGCAGTTCTAGGCTCAAGTGTGGCTAATCTGTCAATTAGCAACCTGAGTGAAAACATTAAGTTCACCATCCGAAACAGAAACCCGGTTCATGTGAGTGTCATGTGCAGCACGTTAGTAGTTTTGTATTGTTCACTTATGATCATAACATTATATCACTGCAATTATAAACAATATAGGCTCACAAAAAGATAAACTGTAATAACAAATTGTTTTTGGTTTGTAGGAAAACTACACAGCCAAATGTGCATTTTGGGATTTCACGCTGAATAGTGAGTTTGCACATTTCAAACAGTGTCTGTAAAGAGCCAGAAAGCCCCAGGTGTAAATATTCCTGCCCTTGATGTTATTTTTCAGGTGGTGGAGGAGGCTGGAGCTCTGTTGGCTGCTTTGTGGTCAACAGCACCCCTGAATATACAATCTGCAGCTGCAGCCATCTTACATCCTTTGCAGTACTGCTGGTTAGTGTGAATTTGTGCACCTGTTTCTGTTTCATGTATAATTTATAACAACCAGCAACGGAAACAAATTGCCTCAGTTTGTGTTCACTGTCTGTTTGTTGTGTATGCCACTTCTCCATGCAGGATTTGTCCAGACAGGAACTTCCTGACCAGAAGAACACACAAATTCTTACTTTCATCACCTACATTGGTTGTGGAATCTCTGCTATTTTTCTTGCTATCACATTGCTGACGTATCTTTCTTTTCCGTAAGGATCTATTTTGGTGCACATCAATCATTACTGTTTAGTCTTATAAATTTCTTAACGTTCTTTATTAAACTCTGTCTTTGTAGAAAATTGCTAAGGGATATACCAGCCAAGATCTTGGTCCAACTCTGTTTATCTCTGCTCTTCCTGAACTTGGTGTTCCTGCTGGACAGCTGGCTGGCGAGCCACAACAATACAGGCCTCTGTATTTGTACTGCCTTCTTCCTGCATTACTTCCTGCTGACATCATTTACATGGGCGGGGCTTGAGGCCCTGCATATGTATCTCAGCATTGTGCGAGTTTTTACACCCTACCTGAGCCAGTACATGCTGAAGTTCACTTTGACGGGTTGGGGTAGGAATCTTCAAACTTTTACTAGATGATCAATTATTAATTTTTCATTATATCAATATTTTAAATATGTTCATGAATTTCCTTTGATTAACCTTGAGTTTTTTGCAGGTATTCCTCTTGTCATTGTAATTATTGTGATATCCGTGGACAAAAACAACTATGGTTTGATTAATTATGGAAAACACACAAATGACACTTCAGATAACTTGTGAGTTATTTTTTAATATTTTGTTTTGTATGTCAAAGCTTTAGATCCAAGAAGCTATGGCTAAGTACTGTAGATAGAACACTTACTTGGGCAAGATACTGAATTCTGATCGTGTATGTGAATAGTAAATGAGATGAATAAGGCTTGTAGTGTAAAATATTTTGAATGGTTAATAACATTTTGGAAAGTGCAGTCTGTGCTTTTCCTAAACGGCATTTGAGAGTAAGCAGCATTCCCATAATGCTGGTTAATCATATTTCTTGAAAAAAATATAATAAAGGTTATCTATTTAAATACCACACGATTTTACACAGTGGCATTATTTAACCAGAAATAAGCCAAAATGTACAAGCACCATGTGAAAAACTTAGTATACCATTACTGCTTCCATTAGTATTAAGAGGGTAAACAGCAGCCTGGTTCTCTTAATAAAATACACTGAATTAACTAATCATCAGCAAGTGTTGGCAGTTTGCTGCTCTGGAGCATTCAGGTGTGTGTTAACACAATGCCAAGCAGAAAAGACATCAGCAGCAATCATAGAGAAGTCAGCGGTAACATATTAAATGTTTAGGTTCATTAAAGTATAATTAGAAAAAGACAGAGAAAATATAGCTTATTTGGAAGGGCTGCCAGGAGAAAACCTGTTCTCTTCAAAGGGACATGGCAGCATGGCTTATATTTGCAAAATTACAACTGAAAAAACACAATAATTTTAGAACAATTCCCTTTGGATAGAGGAGACCAAGGCAGAGATCTTTGGACAAAATGCACAGCTCTATTTTTGGTAAAAAACAGTTTATCAGCATAAACACTGCATACAAACTGTCAAGCACAGTGATTAAAGGCTGATGATTTAGGCTTGTTTTTAAACCATAGGACCTATACATACTAGTATTCTAAAGGCAAATATGTGTCCATCAGTCCCACAGCTAAACCTTGATGAAAATCCCAAAGATCCCAAAAACAGTAGCAAAGGAAAGAATTAAGGTGCTGAACTGGCCCAGTGAAAGTCCAGTCCTCATCCCCACTGAGATGCTCTGGTGGGACCGTAAGAGTGTAGTGCAATGTCAGGAAATCAGCCATTTCCATTTTTCAGCTCCTGAGTATGAAACTGTGCAATAACCAGTTGAACTAATGTCACCATTCCTAAACCAAAGTATTTCCCAGGAGTGGCAACTGTGGAAAAATGTCCTAACTTGATTCTCCCAACGCTGATCAGAGATGATGATTTAAAAACACTATGCAACTGCCAGGATTCTCACATTCCATGAGGCTGCTTTATGGCATGGATTATTGATGCTGATGCACATATTGAAACAGAGCCATTATGAATTTTAGAGTGATTTTTCCAAGTGAGGAGTCAAAATATCCCTGTGGGAAAGGTCTGTTCAACTACTGTAAATGGATTTTGCCATACACATCAACAAATTAGATGGTCCAGCCACCTTAGCAAAGAACTTAACCTTTGATTAATCACACTGCTTTAGTTGTGTCGCCACAGCATCTAATAATTTTGAAGCAACCTAAGTGAAGAGAAAGAAAACAAGTTATCACTGTTTTGAAGCTAAAATGTTCCCTTGGTCATTTCTCCTTTGTTTTCTTTCTGTAGCTGCTGGCTGAGTAATAACATAGCCTTCTATGTGAGTGTGGTGGCCTATTTCCTCCTGATCTTTATCCTGTGCCTGCTGGCCTTCATCGTTGTTATGGGACAGCTTTCACGTATCAAGAAGCAGAACCCCCACAACCAGTCTCCCAAAAGAAGTGTTATGACTGATCTGCGCAGTGTCACCGGCCTCGTCATCATCCTCGGCCTTACCTGGGGGTTTGCTCTGTTTGCATGGGGACCCCTCTACTTACCCTTTGTTTACCTTTTTTCTATATTCAACTCTCTGCAAGGTGACATATGTATAAACACCTTGAATTTCAAAATAGGATTGATTATTTTTTATCATAATAACACAAATATATAATAACACAATAATAACACTATAAAATGCATGGATGTATACTATAAGCTACTTCCTTACTGTTCCTGTGTAGGTTTCTTTGTCTTTGTTTTCCACTGCGCCATAAAAGAGAATGTCCGCAGGCAGTGGAGAACTTACCTTTGCTGTGGAAAACTGCGACTGGCTGAGAACTCAGGTGAAATTACTAAATGTTCCCGAAGATTTCTTTAGAAGCACTTTATAGTAGTTCAGTTGGTTACAACAGAGTAAACAGTGGTTGCTTTAGAACCTTTGTCTTCAAATTTTGTTCTTAATTTCCACCAAAATAAGAACTCATTTAAATAAAAACTTAAAGTAATCTAAATAAAGATATGATATATGGATGTAGTATGTCATTCACATCCATGTGTGAGGAGAGCTCAGGTTTAAATCCAAAGCTAAACTTGTTAAATCTACATAGTTTACTGCTTATCATAAACCAGCTAATTACAGTTGAATTCTCTATCTTTCTGAAACTAATGCCCCGACTAATGGGTTGAACTTGCCTCTCACCAACTGCTGAACTCTAGAATTGACATAAAACTAGTAGACCACTCCTACAGTACTTCGCAGTACTTGGTTTGTTTTCTTGTTTTCTGGGAAGGCTTTCAGATTTTTTGAGAATTGACTGCTTTAAAGCCAAAAAACATTTGTTAAATATTAGCTACATACCTGATAGATAACTGCTAATTAGTGCTAATGTTCTAGATTTAAGCCTTTAGATAAGCATAAATATGAATGGCTTAAAAGTGTTGCTGGGTTGCTTTGACCTAACAAGAGATTTGGCAGAGATTTTAAAGAATGTGACAGGAAAATCAAAGTGAAATCTTGTCGTATTACCCTGCCTTTTAAAAAAGCAGATGAAAGCAAACAAACGTGTCAATTTTCAGCCTATTTTTGGTTAAACAGTCATGTATTCTACAGATTGGAGTCGAACATTCACACAAAACAAGAAGAATATCTCTCGCTCCAGTGCAATCACCTTGGATCCAAAGTTCACTTCTCGAAGCTCCTCTGTTGTCAGTTATGGCACCAATAGCAGTGGTATGTGATGTGGTGGCAGATAGTCCTTTTCAAACATCGCACATTTGAATATATTCTTCATAACACATTGTTCTCATTGCCCGCAGGCTCTGTGTTCGCGGACAGCGGGATATCTGACAGCTCCAACAATGATGTCGTCCTCAATGAGATTCACAGAGGAGATCTAAAACAAGGCAAAACTACCAAATGACTCTACCTGAGCTTTCTTTTGTGATTACAGCCAATTCCAAGAAATGATCTCTGGGAGTTTACAAGATGCAAATTGGAGGAGTAGTTTTCCTTAAGAAAGCCTTAATGTTCCAAAAAAATGAAGGTTCGATGAAGGACTAAAGAGGATCAGGGACAAAGGAAACCTTTGTCTAAATACCTTTAGAGAAGAAGAAATCAAAAAGTGGAGAATGTTTTCAATTCTACACTAATAGTATAGATAATGAAAGAGTCTTGTTAGCAGAGATAAGGTGTACTACTGAAACTGAAACATTATATTGAACTGCATTTACTTGGTAGCCGAGAACAGATGCTGTCAGTATTGTATAGATTATTATCTGGCTATTTCTTTGAGGCTATATTCATTTCTTGAACAGACAAATGACAGAATTTCCAGTCTTAACTCTACATTTCAGTGCCTTTGCCAAATTCTAAGTTTATTTTGGCAGTGTCAAATGGCACTTTGGGATGTATTTAGCTACCTACAGAGACAAGGTTGATTGATGCAAAATGTGCACATGCCAAACTCAACTGCTTGATCATATCTGATAAAAGTTGATATCTGCAAGATTATCTAAGGGTGCAGTTCTGTGTTAAATATTGTATTATTCACTGCATTATAGAGGTTTTTTTTAAAAATTTGGTTCAGACATGCTTCTTATGAAAAAGAAAAAAGATTTGAAATATTTTCATGTGGCGAACTGAAGCACAATCAAAATATGGGATTTATGTCCTGTCCTTTTTAACAAGGACACATTTTGCTAAATGTCCTTGGAAGGCCATTTGCATGCCATGAAAGATGAAATAAAAAAGAAAAAACTAACTTCAACTTGTCACCTGCCCAGCTGCTCTCTCTCTTTTTGCATCAGACTTTCACATCTACTCCACATCTTTACATCTTTAATCAAACCCTTTCAACAGGAGGGGGAAAAAAACTACAATTATGATCCCAGCAGACAACCCTCTCATCACCGTGTTGAGTAACCTTCAGCAGAGCATCTCACGCCCACCCAGCGCCAGTTCAATTGCAGCCTGTCAAGGTTAGCCTCAGAGGTCGGCACCAGTTAGCTATTAAAAGTTTTACATGATTTCCAACCTCAGAACAGGGCGACCTCTAATGTTAAGCCCATGAGTGAGAGATGCTGGGAGAAAAATGAAGAGCTGGAGGCACAGATGTTACACTGATGAGCATGAATACCATAAATTAAATTTAATCCTGAATGCCCAATGCCAATCAATCCTAATTCTGCTTGAAATCATAATCACTGTTTTTTTGTAAACCAAATGTTTTGTTTACCAGCGTCTTCAAAATGCCTTCTAGTTAGAGTCATTTTAAGTTCACTCAAAATTTTAAGGGCATATACTGATGCAGTTTAAACGGTCTTTATTTGTGCTATTGACAGTCAGGTTATGCAATGCCATTATACCTTATCACCTTTGTTTTACCTTTTTATGTTTTCATTTTTGACTTTGTGACTCCACTGCGGTCTTAAAGATCCTTGATGTCATGTCTTTTGTCTCTGTTCAACCCTCACATGCAGAAAACTCCAAATTGGAGCTCAGGAGTTAATGCTTCCCGGTCCACATGGATTGAGGCTAAAAAGGCTGTCACGCCAGGTGCCATACTTTATTGCCAAACAAAATGTGTATGAATTTGTGCACATATAAATCATTAAATAAATAAAACGGTTTATATTTATATATTTTCTGTATTAATGGCATTTGTAATTGCTAATGGTAATGTAGTCATGGTACCATTTGGGTACTTGGTAAGATTTGTCTTATGGTACAAAGCTATCTTAGTATCGTAGTTTCAATAATTATTCGCATATTGTGGTGTAAAGCACTTTTATTAAGGCTTATGAACCCTGGCTATAATGAATAAAAGTCAAAACTAATAGGGTGTGTGTTCTCACAATGTTCTACAGAGAATAAAGTTTTTATTTTAAAGCACTTCTATAGATGGGCAAATTTCAGCTTCAGTACATTTCATTAAATCATATCTGTTTATGTATCGTTTTCTATACACCCACTTGTGCTCTTCAGCCTCAGGCAGAAAAGTTTGCATTGACAGTATTAAATGTAAATAAAGACAAATCAAAATCAGTTGGTGTTAAGAGTCATTCAAGTATCTTCTGGGAGCTCGTTTTCCATAAAAACTCTTCAAGTGCCACCATCTTCCACCAGATGTCAGTATAATCCCATCACTTTGCACTACCTTTAACTCTGATATGATGATGGCCTGTTGGCAAGTGTGCAGTTTTATTACAGCTATTTGGCAGGTTATTATTACCGAGGCAAATCTTAATTATAGCTTCTAAGTGAAATAAAAATCCCCCAGCTTTAACCAGGATAATATTACAGTTATAATCCTGTTACAACCACTATAAAACAATACAATTTCTGAATGACAAAAATTCAGAAAGGACTTCCAAGAACCTTAAATTCTCATTTCCCATCATATAATTCATATATGCATGAGAATCCTTTCTGTCTGGCTGATGTCATTCTGTCAAATTCTATATTCCACTTTGCTAAAAAAAAAAAAAAAAAAAAAAAAAAAAAGTGCCATGGATGCAAAATAAACGTGACAGGTTCACTCGGCTAATTTGTTTGCAGATTTAACAAACTAATCACACATCAGCCAAGGGGGCCGTTTTTTTCTCCTCATCTGAAGTTTTAATTAGATTTGAAGGTTAATTTTTACTGCTGCTGTGCAAGTGTGGCCTACGTGCTTTCACAAACAGACTAACAGTAGCAATGTGGGAAAAGGTAAAGGGAGAAATAAAACCACTAAAACTGATAAAACATTTCATTTCTAATTGGATGTTTTATTGTTAATTTCAGGGAAAATATAAACAAACACTATTAATTTACAAAGGCCATCCATATTTCCCCCAGCTGAAGAAAGGCCCATGCCTCTCTTAGGGTTGCAGCTTAACACTTTAACAGCATTTTCATTCATTCCATACCCGCAGTGCTTTATTTGCAGGTATAAAACCCTACAAGGATGTGAAAAATCAATTTTTTTTTTACACAGGTCTCTCTGTGTATTTTTTCAAATTATTTTTATGTATTTTAAAGTGTAATAACTGAGACCGCCTGCTTGTGTTTAATAGTGAATAGTTAATCTTTTTGCAGTTAAGGAGATGTAATTCACTCTGATTTTTGGGCTAATGTGAGGGTTTACTCCTTACAAAACTGTACTCTATGCAGCAACTTTCCTTCCCGTCTTTTGCTGTGGTCTTTTGCCCTCAGTGAACAGGTGTAAATGCAACAGCGTTAACAGGAGGGCAAACTTGCATAAAAGAAGCAGCTCATGAGCCCAAAATCGAATTCACTCATGGTACTCGGACATCCTCGTTACTAGCAGAAAGGTATGTTACTACGATATAAACCTGCAAAAACAAAACCACTCATAGTTCACCATAATTCACAGGTTATTGCTGTAAAATGACAGATTTTGCCTTGAGCACAGTTTGGGTGAAGCCCTATTAGGTGATCACTGTTTGCAAGTTTCACTAAAGCAGAGGAGTGATTCCAGTGAATTGTGGAAGGATGGATGGAAGATGGATGGCTCACCATGGCCCTTTGGCAGAAAGAACTACAAATGGAACTGTATGTATTATTTCTGTTCTCTTAAGCCCTCTATCCCTTTCTTTAATTGTACTTTTAAACATGGGAGAGGTGTGCATTACTTTTCAAATTTGTAGCTTTTAACTTGACTAACATTGGTAAATCTGAGATGTTGCAGCTTGCGGACTTTAGATTGCAATATCTCAACTTGCATCACACTTTTTACCTCATACATTGAGATATACCGTGAGATACCCTGAGTTAAGTATTGATTAACTTAGCTGCAAATGTCATAGGGTATATCAATTTTTCCAACTTTGTACCAAATTCAGGTATCCTTGAACCTCAAGTCCTGTATCTGTAAGGCAGTGGGTATTTGGGATGACTGGAAGAAGGCAGATCAAAGTGAAAACCTGGCTGTACCAAAATGGCTGTATTCAACCATTCCTATAATCTGAAAGTGCTCTTAATGTTCAATGATACGATAATTTTCTTCGGGATTTTCAGAAAGTAGCAAAGAGTAATACATTTTTTAAGTAGTAATGAACATACCTATTACGGTACGAACTTAAGTTTTCGTAAAATGTAAACATACTGCAACTGACTTGACTTATATAATTTTTTTTCCAGTGATGGCTTGAGCAAATGAATATAACTATTAAATGTTTTCTGTAGGTGTTGTGAAGATGCAGTTTAAGATAAGAAAACATTCCTCCACAAGCCTCAGAATTGATTTTTTTTTTCATTTAGCGCACAGTTACAGCTTTGAACCTATAGCCAAACTTAACAAGCCATTGATATTATCAACCTGCATGACTTGTTATACAACTAAAAGTCTTTCTCATAACAAATGTGCTATTTAAAAAACACTCTCAGATATTTATGAAAATTTGAAGAGCTTTAAAGAACCCTATTAATATAACTCTCAGACATGGTGGTGGAGGGTTGATTTGTTTTGCGGTCACAGGACTTAGGCAACTTGCTGTCACCGATTTGAACATGAACTCTTCTGTATATCACTCCGCTGTATATTCTAGAGCAGAGGTGGGGAACTCCAGGCCTCAAGGGCTGGTGTCCTGCAGGTTTTAGATATCACTGTGGGTCAACACACCTGAATCAAATGAGTAGTTCATTACCAGGCCTTTGCAAAACTTCAAGACATGTTGAGTAGGTAATTTAGCCATCTAAATTAGCTGTGTTGGATCAAGGACACATCTAAAACCTGCAGGACACCGGCCCTTGATGCCTGGAGTTCCGCACCCCTGTTCTACAGTCAAATGTGAGGCCATCTGTCTGACAGCTAAAGCTTGGCTGAAACTGGGTCATCCAGCAGGACAATGATCCCAAACAGCAAATTTACATCAGAATGGGTAAAAAAAAAGAAAGGAATCAAGGTCTTGCAATGGATCAGTCAAAGCCTATACTCAGACCTAATTAAAATGCTTTAGTTCATTTTACCACTCTCCTATTAATACAATGAGTTGAGGTTTGTATAACGACACACTTCAATGAAATGAAGCAACATTGTAAAGAAGAGTGGGCCAAAATTCCTCCACAAGGACATTGGAGACTGATAAAGTCAAACAGAAAATGAATTCTTCAAAATATTGCTGCTAGAGGCAGTTCTACAAGCTACTGAATCATGGAAGGCGCTTAAGGATTGCATAGAGTCCTGTGAATATTGAATTAAAAGGTCAACAGTGCAAAGCAACTGCACTAATAGTTTTATTATTTTTTTTGTGAAATAAATGGTGGCTGCAGGAAGCAACATATTTAGTGAACTTTTCCAATTTCTTTTAGTACACTTAGCTATAGTAAGACGTTTTAAAAGGATTTTTAGAACAAAAAACATCAAAATGTTAGAAGCAGTTTTACAAACAGAACCAACATGCTGCAGATACTACAGAATCAGCAGCATTCTGACTCTGATACCGATTTAAAAAAAAACAAACCAACCAACGAAAACATTTCTTATTGTGATTTAAGTAGTAGGGTTCCTCGTCTCCCTCCTCTTTCTTGGGTTTCTGCTGCCTGAGGTATTCACTAAACACTTGGTCAGTTGGGGCCATCTTCCCAATGTATTCTTGGATGTTCGTTGTCTCATCCTGGACTGTGGTGCTGACACTCATCAGTCCCCGGCCCCCTTCCTTCTGCTTAGCGTACAGCCTCAGGGTGCTGGACTTGGGGTGAAACCCTCCATGGATGGCAAGGAGCTTTCTTGTCTTGATGTCAGTGGCTTCTGTCTCCTCCTTTGGCCAGCCTATTACCCCAGCAAGGTACCTGATCACAGGCAGGGCGTAGGTGTTGATAGCCCGGATCTTATTCTTACCGCTCCTCCTCAGGACTTGCCTGACCCTCTGCAGGTACTTGGTGGTTGCAGCTTTCCTAGCGGCCTCTTCATGGTTCCCATTCGCCTGCGGGATCCCCAGGTACTTGTAACTGTCCTCTATGTCTGCAATGTTGCCTTCTGGTAGTTTGATCCCCTCCATTCTGACTACCTTCCCTCTCTTTGTTACCATCCGACTACACTTCTCCAGGCCGAATGACATTCCGATGTCATTGCTGTGGTGGTGTGG